TTATCTTCGTATACGTTGTATACTTGGTGATATACGACTCTGGGTAGGTCCCTCGAGATTATCTTCTCTCTCGTGTGACCTCCCCGGAGGCCACATATTACTACAAAAATGCTGACATTACTACACACATCACTACGCAAATGCTGATATTACTACACAAATGCTGACAACCCCTTTGCAACAGAATGCGGCGAGGCCTGTCTACCAATAATCGGATAAACGAGTCCATTTGGTAGTTCAACGAGTTCATTGGTTGGTATTAAACGCGTCCATTTGCTAGTTCAAATTAAACGCGTCCATTTGCTAGGCCATTTGCATGCAAATTCAACCTTTTTCCGGATGCGTGTTGCAGGTGGAAGGTGCTGTCGCCAGAACAGGCCACACAGCGGACTTCGAAGGGATTTTTGAATAACCCCTAAGCGATAAGACCTACGAACCTACGGTAGGCACCCCGTAGGGGCATAGGGGGGTTCCTATGGATAAGGTAACGGAAACTCGGGCACTGAGTGCCCGAAAATCCCTTCGTAGTTCGCTGTGTGGCCTGACAACCAATAATCGGACAACCATAAAACCGCGAAATCCTGGGTGTTGGACAGCGGGTCCTTTTCAGGCTTGAGGGTAACACAAAAATGAAGAAAGCGTGTTGTGGGGCCACTTGATGGCAAGTGGAAGGCATGCCTTACCCTGAACTCTAAACCTTAAAACCCTAAACCCTACTCCCTAAAACCTAAACCCTACACCCTGAACCCCTACTCCCTGAACCGCTACACCCTGAACCCCTACACCCTCAACCCCTACACCCCAAACCCTACACCCTGAACCCCTACACCCTGAACCCCTACACCCTCAACCTTACACCCTCAACCCCTACACCCTGAACCCCTACACCCTCAACCCCTGCACCCTCAACCCCTACACCCTCAACCCCTACACCCTCAACCCCTACACCCTCAACCTCTTCACCCCAAACCCCGACACCCTCAACCACTAAACCCCAAACCCTAAACCCTGGCAGGTGGACGGCATGCGGCGGGGCCTCTCGAAATCTAGTCACGGTCAGAATCATGTTTGCTAGTGGCAAGGCCCTACCGCTAGTCGTCCCCTTGGGATAGCGGGTAAGGGATGCAGCCCGTAAGCTGGAGGTCCCGAGTTCGAACCTCGAGGCGGGACATCTCATTTGGTGGGGGATCGGTGGACACCGATGGTGTGCTTCCAGGCTAGCAGGCTCGTCTATGCCGGCGGAGGTCCCCAGCGAGGTCCCCAGTTCAAACCATGTGCAGATTGAACGTGTTCCCGGATGAGTGTTGCAGGTGGGAGGCATGCCTTACCCTGAACCCTAAACCTTAAACCCTAAACCCTACGCCCTAAACTCTAAACCCTAAATCCTGAACCCTAAACCCTAAACCCTAAACCCTGAACCCTAAACCCTGGCAGGTGGAAGGAATGCGGCGGGGCCTCTCGCCAGTTGAGGCCTGTCAACCAATAATCGGATAAACGAGTCCATTTGGTAGTTCAACGAGTTCATTGGTTGGTATTAAACGCGTCCATTTGCTAGTCCATTTGCATGCAAATTCAACCTTTTCCCGGATGAGTGTTGCAGGTGGAAGGAATGCGGCGGGGCCTCTCGCCTGAAGAGACCTGTCAAGAGGCCATCGCTCGCCTCCGGTTCCCACCCTCCTCCTTGCACTCCACACTCCCTCCTCCACACTCCATACTCCACACTCCACACTCCACACTCCACACTCCACACTCCACACTCCACACTCCACACTCAACCCTCCACACTCCACGCTCCACACTCCACACTCCACACTCCACACTCCACACTCCACACGACTCTGAATTCCAGAATATGATCATGCGTCCCCCTGCTGGACCTAGAGAATCGAAAGGGATTTTGAAAAGGTTGGAGGGATGCGGCGGGGCCTCTCGCCTGAACAGGCCTGCCAGGACGCCATCGCCCGCCTCCGGTTCCCTACCAACCCCAAACCCTGAACCCTGAACCATGAACCCTGAACCCTGAACCCTGAACCCTGAACCCTGGACCCTGAACCATGAACCATCAACCATGAACCCTGAACCCTGAACCCTGAACCATGAACCATGAACCCTGAACCCTGAACCCTAAACCCCAAACCCTGAACCCTGAACAATAAACGCTACGAATCCAACATCTTAACCCCTACTCACCCTCCCTACATCTTAACCCCTACCCACCCTCCCTACATCTTAACCCCTACCCACCCTCCCTACATCTTACCCCCTACCCACCCTCCCTACATCTTACCCCCTACCCACCCTCCCTACATCCTAACCCCTACCCACCCTCCCTGCAACCAACACCCTCGACTCTGGATCCCAGAGGCCTGCCAAGACGCCATCGCCCGCCTCTGGTTCGCCATCAACCACAAACCACAAACCACAAACCCTACAACTGAAACCCCAAAACCCAAAACCCAAAACCCAAAACCCAAAACCCAAAACCAACACCCCAAACCCAAAACCAAAAACCAAAAACCAAAAAACCCAAACCCCAAACCCTACACCTGAAACCCCAAACCCCAAACCCCAAACCCAATACCCTATACCCAAAACCCCAAACCCCAAAACCAACACCCAACACCCAACACCCAACACCCAAAACCCAAAACCCAAAACCCGAAGCCCAAACCCCCAAACCCCAAACCCCAAACCCCAAACCCCAAATCCTAAACCCCAAAACCTGCACCTTAACCCCCAACTCCTCTCCCTGCACTCCACACCCTCGACTCTGAATCCCAGTCTAAGATTCTGAGCCCAACTTAATGGGGTAACGGCCTGAAAATGGGGTAGTTAGGCCTACGGCATTGTCTAGGACCTCCTACCGTAGGCCGAGACTTTTCGGTCCTAGGATCCCTCGGCCTACGGTAGGAGGTCCTAGGCAATGCCGTATGCCTAACTACCCCATTTTCAGGCCGTGACCCTATTATACTGTTCAACCGAGGGTACCAGACCCGCCCGGATGAGGCTTCGGCGCGGTACCCAACCGACGGCTTATCCACGCCAGACCAACCGACGGCTTATTCACGCCAGACCAACCGACGGCTTATCCACGCCAGACCTGGCGTCGTTGACTTTAGGTTTTGAGGGCATTTCTCCTGAACGATGTCAAAAGTGAATGTTTTGATCCCTCTGGCGTGGGTGGCATGGTACCAAGCCTGCGCCCTAAATAGATATTTCTATTTACCGGTGCGGGGGGCAACGCTGCGTGGTGCAAAGCACAGAGCGGTGTGTAGCGAAGTTGGCTGCGGAACATTGTGGAATTGGTAAGCGTTGACTGTCAAATTGGTAAGCCTTGGCTGGTACAAAAGGGTCTACCTTGACCGATTCGGCATTATTTCGCCGGCCAACTTGTCTGCACATTGCTCTATCCTGCTCCGAAATTCGCGGTGGGACTCTGCTACGGGGGAGGACTCGATGGGTTCTTAGAGCCATTTCAAACATATCCTGCGGTTACTTTTCCGTCAAAGTCAATTATGTGTGGGCATTTCCGGCAACTTTTGCCGATTTCAAGGGAAAGTGATAGATGGACGCAGGGCGTTAAATGACATGTAGCCCTCCCGCGTAGTGACGTTGTCCCATGCATGCAGGACCGTAACTGCGGTTTCTGAGGAGGAGCAGATGCATGCCAGCCTCACAGGCACCCCCCCCCCCCTCTTTGCGACGCACTTAGCATCGATTTCGGGTTTAATTATTTGCTGCCACCCTGGAGGCAACTTATGGGCAAATCGATGGTTTCCTAAGTCAACTCCCATACAAATGCGCCCGGAATCTCATCTCCACAAAAGTATTAATTAATTGCTTTTGGCGCAACGAAATTTACTACACAAATGCTTTACTATTACTTTTATGAGAAAATCGTGTAGTAATTTTCGTTGCCCAAAAGAAATTAAATAATACTTGTATGGAGATTAAATCCGGGCGCATCTGGGGGAGATTGAATTAAGATTTGCCCCTGGGTTGCCTTCAGAGTTGATTCTTTCAAGATTTTTCCGGAAGAAGTCACACTAAAGCCACGAATGGGACCATTTTAAATGTGGGGTTGTTAAAATTAGTACCAGTCACGGGCAGGTTTGGTCACGTTGCTTGGGGAATTCCCCCAGCAACGTGACCAAACGCCCCTATTTGTGTGAAAATTACAACACATCTCTTTTTTTCTCTTCACTTGTAAAAGAAGCTCTGTTGTAAAATGGTCCCATGTCTAGCCTCGAGTGGAGTGAACACCTGTTTCTTGCACGATTCTTCTTAATTTGCCGTCAACAGTTCAACAAAGTCATCTCTCGCGTTGACTGACATCGATCTGGACCGCAGTTGGAATCGTGGCCCTGTCGATCGACGGCATGATAGGGGCCTCTCCACAGCTTTACCATATCAAAAAAACCACCCCTAACGG